GCAGAAAGCTCTGGAATTGGATTCCTTTTCTCTTCCGTCGACAGTATTGCTAGAATTATTACTCGATTATCATTTGGCATTTCCTTGTGACTCTGTGTTTGAAAGCACCACTCGATTATATTTTTTTCTGTCTCAATCTCTTTAGTTTTATTTGTAAACAGTTCATTGACACCAAAACGCATCAATGTATGCTTTTTGATCCCGTTTGAAACCGAACGGTTTTATAATTGCTTTTATAGTGATAAAACACCTTTATGGAGAATTTTGTCATGACATCAATTAAACAAATACGAATTGATTTACCGAATAGTTTTATAAAGAGATAAAGTGCTGCATTAAATTCATTGTTAAAACCAGACCCTTTCATTTTCTCGTCAGACTTTAAAAGTTTTTTTTAAACCGCATTCAGCTGAACTAGTGATCAATAATGTTTTGCACTGCTAAATGCTGTATTTAAACTAAAAAGATTACTTATCAGAGTGAAAGCTAAAAGGCTGTTAAATTGTTACTTGGGTGGGATTGAACCTAGGCCTTCGAAGTGAGAGGAAGTCACGCTTACCCCTACACCACCGGTGCCACTAATAATTTTCATATGTAAGATGCATGAAGAGAAGGTTAATTTAGTGTTTAACACATAAAACCTGTCAATTTTATAAATGAAACAGCTAAAAAGATTATTTCCATTAAGTTCCACTTAATGACCATAACAGATACGTATTCCGACTACAACTTCATCAGTGTCATCTCCACTAAAGAACTTAACTTTAAGCGGAATAAATATTTATTTTGTTTAGGCTACTTACAATGATTATTACAATGTTTACTTACAATACTATGCATTGATTCTATTCTGTTTTAGCTTAGTTTTTATTTGCTGCTTGGATATAGTGATGTCAATAGTTCCGCAATGCAAATTATACAAGCGCATCATTCCATTGATTAGGCTATTTTCTGCATAGTTTGTTCTGTACCATTATTCAGAAAATAAATTCCGTGTTCTAAGATATCGACAAGGTGTGTAAAAGTTTAATTTTCCGAGAATTTCTGCCGAATCTATGCGCATTGAAATAATGTCGTTGATGAAGAAAAGCATTGCAAGTGTTTGTATGTTGATGAGCATGCATCACGCTTCATAAGATGGTAATGGAAATGCAGTCCAATTCAATTTACGTGAAGTATATAAAAGGAATTGTTTTTGGACAGATTCTATGCATTCTTCGTGTATGGAAATGTATGGATTCCACACTAGGTTGCAGTATTCCAGAATTGGCCTTATATAATAGCTTAATAGTGTATGGGTCTTCGAAATTATGACTGAACCTTTTAATGAAGCCTAGCATTCTGTTTGCTTTACTAATGATAGTATTATACTGTTCTATAAAAGTTAGTTTGGAGTCTTGGATTACACCTATATCTCTTACAATATTGCATTTTTCTACTATTTGGTTGCCTAATGATATTTCAATATGCGGTGTTTAAATTTTTCTGCTAAATGCTATTGCGGTACATTTTTTTACGTTCAGTTTAAGTAGACTTTTACTACACCAGGTATGGAATATATTGATTTCATTCTGGAATTCTTCTGCATCGCTAGAATTACTTATTTCCCTAAAAAGCTTCATTTCGTCTGCATATACAAGCAGTTTTATTTATAAAAACTGAAGTGGGCCTAAATGAGAACCCTGTGGTACCCCAGAGGTGACTGAAATTGGTTCTGAAAGTTTATTTTGAAAGCGGACTATTTGCTTACGATGTGTTAGGTATGATTGAAGCCAATTTAAAAGTCCAGGCTTCATTCCTATTTTCTGCAATTTGAGGATTAATAATGGTATGTCGATGCGGTCAAATTCTTTACTGAAGTTGGTTTATAGCACTTCACCGTGCTTGCCATTGTCCAACGCTTTAAGAATGAAAGATACATATTCTAGAAGATTAGAGGTAGTTGAGCGACCTTTAAAAAAGCCGTGCTGTTTACTTGTAATTAGATTTTTCACCTGCTGAAAAACATTGCTGTTTACTATTGATTCAAAAAGTTTTGAAATGCAAGAAATAATAGCAATTCCACGATAATTTCGAATGCCTGATTTTGAACCTGATTTGAAAATTGGTACCTATTTAACCTAAGATGATTTCTAAATTTCAGGGAATTTTCCATTATTCAGAGACATGTTGGAAATACACTCTAGAGGAAATGCGAGATCTTCAGAAAGGTTTTTCAAAAATATCGGTGCGATGCCGTCAGGTCCAGACCCTTTCGACGCGTTTAAGTTTTTTAGTGCATTGAGGACTTCATGTTGAGAAAGTTGGTTGATAGAGATATTTTTAGAAATTTCAGGAATGAATGCAAAGAAATCATGGTCACGATCTTCTTCGAAAAATGTGGTGTATACTTCTTGGAAGAAATTTGAAAAGAGATTGCAAAATTCAGAAGAATTCTCACCTACATTTGCATCCAAATTCATTCGCAAAGGAAAATTGCTACTTTTTAATTTCGTGTTTACATAATTAAAAAAGTTCTTAGGACATGACTTGACTTCATTTTCGACTTTGCGATTATAGTCCTCATATGCAGAGTTGATGGCTGTATTTAATTGTTTGCATAAGTTGTGATAGTTTCGCAAATTGGTTTCAGTTTATTTTTTTATTTTTTGTATAGTTTATGAGCTTTCTGTTTTTTATTCTTCAAATTTTTCAGTTGAGGATTGAACCATGCGGGTAGTTTATTGTTTTGCGTTCGTATTCTTTTTTTTGTTGTTGGTACCAGTGATGGAAAAGTTCGCGAAAACTCACTATGACTCGCGAACTTTTCTCTTGGTGAACTTCGTGAAATATCACGAACTTTTCCAACACTGGTTGGTACAGTTTCTAAAATTAGGCTTTGCAGAATTGAGTGAAATTTTTCTACTTCAGTATCGACATTTCCTTCAATACTTATTAAATTTTGCCAATTTATTGTAAATAGTCTACGTTTGGCTTCTTCGTAATTTGCTTTATGGTATTCCGGCACTTCCTCGTATTCCCAGAGTATACAATTGCTGTGTGAAACACTTCATTTTTCCATAAAGGTTCTAATGATGTATACACACAGAAGTCTTCAGTGCAATTTGTAAATAAAAGGTCTAAATATGAGTTTTGTTGATTTTTTACATGGTTAATTTGATTAAGACCATATTTTTATTTCGATATTTTGTCGAATAATAATTGTAATGTTTCGTCTACGTCTACGTCTACGACTGGGAGTAAAAATGATTCATTTAGAATGTCTGTAATAAAGTCTGTGTTTTGTTGATTAAAGTCGTCAGACATATGCAGTTTTACTTCTGGTTCCATATTTGACATTATAATTTCAACAATTTGAAAAAAAAAATAGTTCAAAAGACTGCTTTTGGGCATGTTTAGGTGGAAAATACACCAGAAAAAATGTGTTTTTCACCGGCAATAAGTGCTTTGACCCAGACATTTTCGAATTCCTTGTGCTTATTTGTTATGATTTCTTCAGAAGTAAAGTCAGCATCGATGGCAATGAGCACTCCACCATCCGACTTTTTATTACTGAGTTGAAAATTCGTGTCGTGCCGGAATATATTAAAATTATTCAAAAATTTCATCGCTACTGACGCTTTTGTCCCAGCTTGTTTCAGTTCCAAGAATTATTTGAAAAGAAGAAGATAGAATGTTCTGGAGAATTTCTTTCAATTTAGCTGCGCTTTTCATGCGGTTGCAATTTTGGCAATACACCAAAATTTCAGTCGCATTCTGTTGAGGAAGTGAAGAGATTTTTGGAGGGTTAGTATTACTTACATTAGCAGGGTCTACCTGTCCTGTACCTCTTCTTCCTGCATCTACAAATAAAAGATATCGTTATAACATCTCATAATTATCAATATTTTTAGCTCTAATGAGAAATTGCAAACCTGATGGTCGGTTTGGAAAATTCGGGAGTCAATGGTTTTCCATACATTACTTTGCTAAGTCATTACTAAGAAGTCAAATCCTGACAGAGAATGTTTTGATGCACAAAAAAAATTAGTAGCTCTATATTTTTCCATGTGAAACAGCGCAGTTTGGAATTGGATGCAGTATTGTATGAACTAAGAACCGGTAATATTTCCCTCGATAATTGAGATAAATAATGATAGAATAATTGTTGCCTCTATTACGGGTTGAACATAAAACCCAACCGAACGTAATCCACTTCAATTGCATAGGAAATTCAATAACCGTGTGTGATCATTTTAGTGGATAAAGCATTTCCATTTCAGTAAACCTATCACTGTTTTCTTCTTCGATCAAGTTGATTGATTGATGAAAGCTCCGACACACACAGGCGAAGCTAACGACGATGTCGGTCGGTGGTGGTTTAGAAAAATCTATTGAGACATTTTTCCTCCTTCTTGGGCACCTCGATTCAGGAAGAGATGTAATCCCTCGATGCTAGTGGATATTATGTAGCATTTCTCCGGTCGATTGTTGTGATTGGCATCGTTCGAACAGCGGTTGGAGGTCTGGCAGCTGCCAGCAACCGATCGATGCGATGGGACGCTTTAATGGGGAACTCGTTCGACCTCTGCTGCTTGAACCATTGACCAACAAGCGAACCGATGGCGTGCCGGGTAGACACTTTTGAGTTTATTAAATTAATGTAATTGAAGCAACATAAATATGCCGACAAACGTCTTCCTGGTTGGCAGCGCTAATCAATTATGATGCTATCAATTTCTCAACTGCCGTGCAAGGGTATCATTTTCCTCCATCCATAGGGTCAGCCGTTTCTTAAAACCAGCTGCTTAAACTTTGTAATGGGAGCACTAATCTTGCATAATCCACGCTTTGGTTTGGTTGCAACGTATAAATCATCTAAAATTTTGCTTACCATGGTCTTAAAAATGCTTGAGATGGTTCATTCCGATTTACGTTCCGCCACTTGGCAATATCCTGAAGCAACAAATCTAATTAAGCCCAATTCTAAAATTTCATCATCTCTTCCTTTTCTTCCACAGCATCGCAGCTCTCAGGTACGTACCAATGAATAATTTACACCGACCTAAGAGAACATCACTTTGGCCGTCTTTTATTTTCCTTGATGCATCAAGATCAAAAATATTGCCTTCAAGAGTGTACGGCCTAGTGTCTCGGACTGATGTACCTTGGCCCCATCATGTACTTATCTGTTCTCCCCCCACACCACCCTTCAGAAACACTTTCCCCTGCACAACACCGGTAGCTGACTCACGGAACCTTTTACGGTTCATTGCATATATTTAAATGCGAGCGTGTTTTTTTTTCTAATGATATTTCAAAGAGAGTCATTTTCCGTGCACAGCATTGCCAACAGATCTAAATATGTAGATTGATCCCCCCAGTAATAAGCACCACGCGGATTATGCTCGCATCGATTTGCGCAGAAAAACATAAATCTGTCGATTGCACAACCACGCTTCGTTCGTTCGTTCGTTCGATCGTTCATTCGTTGGTGGTTATTAGGTTTGGTGATTGCAATTAGTCATGGCTACCGACGACGGCGATGACTAAAGTGGGAATTCGTTAGAGGCGTGGGAATTTCATGGTTGGTTGACGATTTTCCGTGCGTGAAATTTGTTATTTTTGGACATGAAAAGCGCAATTTGACGGCCGATTGGCGACGATATGTGTGCATTTTGTAACTTTTGTTTGAATTAGAAATTACTACTAATGAACAGGTTCCATTTTTATGAGTTTACAGCTTTCAGGTAACCAAATAAGCGCAAATCACTTGAATGCAATTGAGTTATATAGTTGGATGCATCGTGCATGGAATGCAGCTCAAGGACATTCCAGTCTCAGTAATGCCACCCAAATTTGATCGCTTCTTCCCCATCACCGCTTCGATCGAATCATCCATAAACATTACACCTGACCTTTAGGCAGCTGGGCAGGTACAATTCACGACCATTATTTCTTACCAACAACTCAACTTCAATGCCCCGCGCACAGACCACTTTTTTCATTACGAAAGTTCATCCACCAATCAAGTCGTACTCGCACATAGTGAATTACCCTGCAAGTGCGTGGTTCGCTTTTTACCTACCCTGAACGAACAATGCCAATAATATGCATCGACCGCAGCGGGTGTCCGTCGATGCAGTGGACGTTTATATCGAGATATTAATTCGAGCATCTTTTCCTTCGGACATTTCTTACCGGTCTACGCTGGGTGGCGTTTTGTTGCGGTCACCGTCGTCGTCATTGTAGTAGTAGTAGTTGTTGTTGTTGTTATTGTCTGGTTTCCACCTTAGTTTCACGCTAAATTAGCATAATTCTACACGCGTGTGCACTGCAATCATTTCTGAACCCTTGCATGATTTGCTTGACTTCCAACCGTATATCCCTGCAACTAGGTGAGCATGAATGGTGAGTAAATTTTGCAATGGCACCACCGATGAAAAGAGGCGGAACTCGAGCTTAATTGGCGCTAGAGGCAAATGGGTAACCTTTGGTGCAGCGTTGTAAAAATGAAGGGCTGGGTTACGCATTGGTTAAGTGATTTCGTAAAACTGATAGCCGTCAATTATGGTAGAGTAAATGGAAGTGTTTTGAAATCGATGGTTTCCAGGATGCAATTCATGTAGGTTAAGCGCTGTCAATGGATTATCATTTAGTTTTTTTTGTATATCAGCCAACACTATTCAAGGAAAACCATTATAAATATTCTGATGCTCTTATGAGATAAATGATGATGATTTAATTAATACGGTGCACGCCGTATCTGAAGTTGCAGATTAATCAACTTTCATGTACCTCCGATTTTTCGTCACCAAATGTTTGTTTGTGCACTAACATTCTTAAATCGGTTTCCTCCATACAAAGACGAGTAAGCTTGAGATATGACCGAACTTTGCTTTTCCAAGTAGAATCCCCACGTTGCTTCAGAAGCCAGTCCTCTTAAAGGCTGATGGCTTCCTTTACTGGTACACTCGGAAAAAGTGCTGTGACATCAAATGAAACCATGACTTAATCTTTCCAAATCTCTCCTGATGCCTGGAGCTGACTTGTGAATTCCTGTGTGCTGTTAACTGAGCGAGTGGAAAATGGTTTAGGCATATTTTGAAATTCCTTTAATAGCCATTTGGCAAGCTTATGAGTGGGGGATCCTTCAGCCGAGATAATCCCTCATTTCGTTTCCTGGTTGTAAACCTTTGATCCTAGGTAGAACAGGGTTTGAAACTTTCAATTGATTCGTAGTGTTGCCAATAAACGCCTTGCACTCTTTCAACGTTTTATCCACATGTTTAAACATAGATGGGAGGGAGTCAATCCTCAACTCTCGCTTCACTTTTCAAATAGACCAATGTAACAAATGTAAACAAATCGAGTTAAGCGATACAAGCTATTGCTCTTCTATCATTGTATGTGATACAAAAACACCCATCCAAATTTACTTTCATTGATTTAAGAAAATTATTGATCAAAAATTGTCCAATGTACAGTTTGAAATGATGGTTACTTGATTGTTACTTCGGTCATTCGGACTGCCTAACATGATTGGTGCTCATTTTCCAAAGGCGGGGCCAATCTAAAGTTAGATACTATACTCTGAAATCTGTGAAAGGGAATCTAGTATCATGTAAACAAAACGTCCAATGTAACACTCATTGATTATGTCATTGAGAAAAATCGTCCAATGTAACATGTCCGATGTACAACTCGACTTGTCAAAACGTCCTATGTGGTCTTTTCTATGTTGTAGCATGACATTCAAAGTAAAATTGTGATTTTATCGTTTCTTCTGAATTTTCAACGTTATTATACACTGACTACATTAAAAATAGTATTGCAAAATGTATTGTTTTTAAACAGTTAAAATAATAATCTGTCGAACTTCAACTTCGATTTTCTCAAAATGGTGGATATGTTACATTGGTCTATTTGAAAAGTGACGCGAGAACTGTCTGTATGGGCCATTAGTAATTTTTCCGTCATCCGATTGTCATAGTCCTCTTTGTCCAAAATCACTACTGCATTACCTTTGTCCGCTTTTGTATAGAATACCAGCTTTGTTTTTAGTTCTTTGAGAATTCGAATTTCCTCTTTTTCGGTTTTACTAAGTGAATGTCCCTTTCCGTTTTGTATTGTCTCTGAAATAATATTCCTGGCAGTCTCGCGTAATTGAATAGGAAGTGTGTGAGTGATTGCAGTATCCATGTCAACGATGGTCTCTTCCACGTCAAGTTTTGAGGAGATCGCATATCCTAATCCCTTGTTGAGAAGTGTCAATTGTTCTTCTGAGAACTGCTGCGTCGAGCGATTTACCACAAAACCTTCGACGGATTGAACCACAAGCTGTGTGATTTCTGGTCTCTCTGTTGTGTTGTGTACCTCAAATAGTATTGTAGTGACCTCAGTTTGTTGCTATGTAACTTTCTTTTCCTTTTTTCCTCGCAGTCGTTCAATACTTTTACTTTAGTCAAAAACAGTGGAAATTCAGTTGTGAATTCTTTGGCCAATTTCAAATGCAGGGAATAACATTCCAATGACTATGTTTTCAACTTTGAGTAGAGACTCTGAATGCTTGCTTTTATAAATTCTGACTCCATCTTACGAACTACTTTTAAGGGAGTTGGTGTCTTAACCTTAATCTTATGACTGATAGGTGTTAGATTTAATTTTCGGCATTTCTTAAGAAATGATATGTCTTTCCTAAAACCTACGATGGATTTCTTTGGTGATATGTACCTATTAGGTTCTGAAAGCTTGGAAGCCACGATCAATCCTTTAAATTTGTCAAACCTCTTAACGGAATCCCTTTATGAAGAGCTTTGAGTGGGTTGGTGTAAAACGTGAGGATTCTACTTGGAAAATCAAAGTTCGGTCATATCTCAAGCTTACTCGTCTTTGTATGGAGGAAAATTATTTCATTTTCAGAGGAAATTTTTATAAACAAACTAAAGGCACTCCTATGGGCAATCCGCTTTCTCCATTTTTATGTGAATTGTTCATGGCTAACCTAGAAAATACTCTGGAGGATAGGAATTTGTTGCCCAAATGCTGGTATAGGCACGTGGATGACATCTTTAGCATTGTCAAAAAAGAAGATTTATCAAAAACTTTGTAGACCATAAGCAACGTTCACAAGGACATCAAATTTACTCACGAAGAAGAGAGAGACGACAAACTCCCCTTCTTAGATCTTCTCATCATCAGGGAAACGTCTTCGTTCAATTTTGAAATCTATAGGAAACCAACAAACACAAAGAGAGTAATACCAAGCACTTCAAACCATTCCCATCAACACAAAATGGTCGCTTTTCACCACATGGTTCACAGGATGCAAACTCTTCCTCTTAGCGATACAGGCAAATCAAAGGAAATAGCTCACATTTTTGAAATCGCTAAACTTAATCGGTATCAAGAAAAAACAATTCAAGCAGTAATCGATAAAATAACAAGGGATCATTTAAGGTGTATTTCGACAACTCCTACACCAGTAACTGAGGGTTTAAAACGGGTAGCGGTGAATTCCGACAAAAACGTTACCAAACAATTGATTTCGAAGTTTAGAAGTTTTGGCCTCGATTTAGTATTCAGCAGCAGGACAAATCAGCTGAAGTCACTGTTAGGATCAACAGAAGATTCAATAAATGTCATAGGGAAAGCAGGAGTCTACAAAATCTCTAGTTCAGATTGCAATAAAATCTACATCAGTCAGACGAAAAGGACTTTGGAAACAAGGTTTAAGGAACACATCGCAGAGGTAAAAAGGCTAACAAAGAGATGAATAAAGGACTTCATTATGAATTTAAATCCAAGGTTGCAGAACATATCGTTACAAAGGGGCACAATTTGACAAAAGATAACATTAATATCCTGCGGACTGTATCTTCGCCTTGGAAACTAGACGTAGCTGAAAGTTTAGAAATATTTAAACATAATGCATCAACATTGCTTAATAAAGATCAAGGAAACGGATACTCGAGACTCTTTAGCATACTACCAAAAACAACACATCGTAGCATGCCTCTACCTGTTGGAGACTGAA